CGTCATTAGTAAATATTTCAACGAAGTTGACCTTGTCACAAAGATTACGGCAGTTCCATAGCAAGGTATTGAAGTTAAAATTGTTTAGGCCTAGGCCTACGTCAATTATATGTGCACAAGGGTTGGCTACGTCAGTGCTTACCTGGTTTTCAAAGTCAGTCACATTGGAGGTACAACTCGTTTGTCCTGTAAGTTTAAAGATTTCTTGACAACAAACCTGTTCACAAACACTCCCTTCGGACAGAAGTCAGGTTTATACACTACTTCGTCAATCCTGGAAGGAATGGTGACTTTAAATGAACAGTATTCCTCCGGGTACTTAGAATTTAGTGATTCTACTTTAAACGATTCATTGCTAAATTTTTCTAATAGGAAAGATTCCAAATCCTTAGAGTCAGTGTCCGGTGATAGCCTAGATACAAACAGGAACGACTTCTTTTCGGCAGTTTTAAGCCTATCGCCATCAGCTGCACTTAAACTTCCAGTAATAAATTTAGGTTTGTTATTGTTTTGATTTTGTCTGTAACTGACATTCCCAACGCCACGGCCTCCATTATTCTGACTCTTCTGTTGATGTTGTTGAAAGTCACGACGCATATTTCGCTTCCGATAGGAGACTGTCTGGAACGAATCGGATTCAGCTGCCATCTCACTCCTATTTGACTCCGCTGCTGCAGATTCAGACTTGGATGTAGCCGGTCGGCCTTCTGGGTTTCGAAGCAACGAGCTCGTCATAGTCGACTCTTTTACTCTATGACCACTAACAACAGATTTGTCACTAGCTGTCTGTTCAACGTTGTTGTTGTTGTTGTTGACATTTTCATTACTGTCAAGCATACTAGGGTTAGGTTTAAGAATATCCTTATCGATAAGATTACAATTTAAGGAAGTTAGATTTTGAATACTACCCTCACCTCTCTTTAAATTCTGTGATTTTAGTTTGCTAGCATACGTGTTATTAGTAGACTTGTCAAAAACGATATCACCAATGATTTCAGACTGGTGTTTCAGTCCGTTCTTCAGCTTGTCATTTTCACTGAGTAAAAACATAATTTGCTCACTCATCTTGTTTTGCGTGATAATTAAATTGCACACTTTATCCGAGAGAGATTGAAATGAGTCATCAGAATATGGTACATCACATTCGACGTCATTTTTCACAGAACTTGCTGAGCAGGGAGCAGACGACGGTGGCGGCATCGTTGCGGATGACGACCGGCACGTTTCACACTTGAAAAAAGCCTTATCTCCTAACTCCTTAAAAATATTTAACTCTTCGTTTGATAGACCGGCACACGAAATGTGAAACCACGACAGACAATATCCAAAACACTTGATACATTTACTGTTCTTCGTAATATTTCTTTTGCAATCAGCCAAGCCACATCTAGTAGGCGCCATCTTGATGACGTCAATGTAATCCTAATGGAAACAGTATTTGACACATAAACAAAGACATATGATCAGCTGTTGACTTTTAAATGCAGTAGATAAATAAATAGCTGATAGCATTATTCCACAGATATCTAAATATATAAAAGGCAAAGCCCTCACTGACTGACTGACTCACTCACTCACTCATCACTATTTCTCTTACTTCCCATTTACCTAGGAGGCTGAAATTTGGTACACTGATTATTTATGCATTAAATAGGAAAACTAAGCTGTTTTTATTCTGATCGGACTCAAGGGCTCCGCCCCAGTGGCTCTGGAGTTTCCCATGTTAACCTTATGAGTTCTCATATTTAAATGGAATTAATGAATCTTAACAGCTGTTTCAATTAAACAAGTTGGTTCTGTTCTATGATGTTCAATATAGCATTAAAGTTACAAGGATTACCAACAGGGTGCAGCACTATTATTTCTTTTATATTTATGACAACAGCTAATGAAAAGGTGAGTGAGCGTAGCGAACGAACTTCAACCTGGAGGCGAGTTAGCGTAGCGAACGAGCTAACCTGAAGGCAAGTGAGCGCAGCGAACGAACTCCAACCTAAAGGTGAGTGAGCGTAGCGAACGAACTTCAACCAGGACCTGATTGAGCTATGCGAACGAGCTCACTTATGAAGTTAAACGGGGCAAAGCCCGCGGGTACAGCTAGTTAGAACATAAACGGTGGTTTGGATCATAAAATAATCAAATGACGACACTAACTTGAGGTCCGTGACGTAGGAAGTGGTGAAGGAAGTAGTAAAGGTGAGCAGTCTGGAGTGTGCAAACTGTTTATGACGATTAGATTTAGGTATCTGCATTCCAAAAATTATAAGGGAAGGGAGGAAAACGGGTCCGCGACGTAGGAAGTGTTAAAGGAAGTACTAAAGGTGAACAGTCTGGAGTGTGGAAACTGTTTATGGCGATTAGATTTAGGTATCTGCATTCCTAAAATTCTATGGGAAGGGAGGAAAACGGATCCGCGACGTAGAAAGTGGTGAATGAAGTACTAAAGTGAGCAGTCTGGAGTGTGCAAACTGTTTATGACGATTAGATTTAGGTATCTGCATTCCAAAAATTATAAGGGAAGGGGGGAAAACGGGTCCGCGACGTAGGAAGTGATGAAGGAAGTAGTGAAGGCAAGCTGTCCAGAGTGTGGGAACTGCTTATGACATTATATTAAGGTATTTGCAATCCTATGATGCTATGGGAAGGGAAGGAAACAGTTCCGTGGCGTAGGAAGTGGCGAAGGAAGTAGTAAAGGCGAGCAGTCCGGAGTGTTGGAACTGTTTATGACGATTAGATGAAGATATCTGCAATCATAAAATGCTATGGGAAGGGAGGGAAACAGTTTCGTGGCGAAGGAAGTAGTAAATGCGAGCAGTCCGGAGTGTTGGAACTGTTTATGACGATTATTAGATGAAGATATCTGCAATCATAAAAGCTACATGGGAAGGGAGGATAACGGGTCCGCGACGTAGGAAGTGATGAAGGAAGTAGTCAAGGCAAGCTGTCCGGAGTGTGAGAACTGTTTATGACAATTAGATTAAGGTTTCTGCAATCATAAAATGCTATGGGAAGGGAGGAAAACGGGTCCGCGACGTAGGAAGTGATGAAGGAAGTAGTAAAGGCGAGCAGTCCGGAGTGTTGGAACTGTTTATGACGATTAGATTAAGGATTAAGGTATCTGCAATCATAAAATGGTATAGGAAGGGAGGAAAACGGGTCCGCGACGTAGGCAGTGATGAAGGAAGTAGCCAAGGCAAGCTGTCCGGAGTGTGAGAACTGCTTATGACCATTATAGTAAATAAGATAATAAGGTAATAGGTAGTTGCAATCCTATGATGCTATGGTAAGGGAGGGAAACATGTCCGTCACGTAGGAAGTGGTGAAGAGAGTAGTAAAGGCGAGCAGTCCGGAGTATGGGAACTGTTTATGACGATTAGATTAAGATATCTGCAATCATAAAATGCTATGGGAAGGGAGGATTACGGGTCCGCGACGTAGGAAGTGATGAATGAATTAGTCAAGGCAAGCTGTCCGGAGTGTGGGAACTGTTTATGACCATTATATTAAGGTATTTGCAATCCTATGATGACTCTGGGAAGGGAGGGAAACATGTCTGTCACGTAGGAAGTGGTGAAGGAAGTAGTCAAGGCGGGCTGTCCAGAGTCTGGGAACTGCTTATGACGATAAGATTAAGGTATCTGCAATCATAAAATGCTATGGAAAGGGTTAGGAAAAGGTCCGTGGCGTAGGAAGTGGCGAAGGAAGTAGTAAAGGCGAGCAGTCCGGAGTGTGGGAACTGTTTATGACGATTAGATTAAGGTATCTGCAATCATAAAATGCTGTGGGAAGGGAGGAAAACAGGTCCACGATGTAGGAAGTGGTGAAGGAAGTAGTAAAGACGAGCAGTCCGGAGTGTGGGAGCTGTTTATGACGATTAGATGAAGATATCTGCAATCCTAAAATGCTATGGGAAAAGAGGATAACGGGTCCGCGACGTAGGAAGTGATGAAGGAAGTAGTAAAGGCACATTGTCCGGAGTATAGGAACTGTTTATGACTATTAGATTAAGGTATCTGCATTCATAAAATGCTATGGGAAGGAAGAGAAAAGGTCCGAGACGTATGAAGTGGTGAAGGAATTTGTAAGGTGAGCAATGTGGAGTGTGGGAAATGGAAACCGTTTGTAGCAGTTAAATTAATGTATCTGCAATGCTGAAATGCTATGAGAAGGGATGGAAGCATCCCCACGACATAGAAAATGGTAAAAGAAGTAGTAAAGGCTAGCAGTGCGGAGTGTGGGGAATGTTTGTTGCAATTAGATTAACGTATCTAAAATACTAAATTGCTATGGAAAGTGATGAAAACAGGTCCACGATGTAGAAAAAGGCTTAGAAAGTAGTAAAGTATGAGCATAGTGTGAATATCGTCTGTGGCAGTTAGATTGATGAATCTTTAATCCAAAAATGCTATGAGAAAGGAAGGAAACAAGTCTATGACGTAGGAAATGGTGAAGGAAGTAGTAAGGCTTGCAGCGCAGAGTGTGGGAACTGTCTTTGGCAATTACATTAATATATCTGCAATCCTAAAATGTTATGGGAAGAGAGGGAAATAGGTCCACGACGTAGGGGTGGTGAAGGAAGTAGTAAAGGTGAGCGTGTTGAGTGTGGGAATGGATTAATGTTCTGCAAAGCTAAAACGCTATGGGAAGAGACTGTAAACTGTAGGTTAAAATAATTTCGAAGCACGAATCGATACATATTTCGATACATTCAATCGTTTATAATAGAAATTTACAAACTGAGTTGCCAACAGCTGATTTTTACTCCATAGAGGATAAAAACTATTTTTACTCCATAGAGGATAAAAACTTTTTTACTTCCTAAAGACTAAAATTGCTACTTTAGACCCTCAACGCATGCATTAAAAACGACTGGTATTACTGCAGTATGACCAAAACAATATAATATAAACCCTTGATGACTCCGCTCAATTTTGTGGATGCTTCTGCGAACGCCACCTAGTTATCAATAAATAAGTTAAGTATAAAAACATTGTTTTTACCTGCACTCAAAGGCATCTTGATATAGAGATCTTAAGGTTCCCTTGATAAATGTAAGTTAGTCATACAGCCTGAAACAAGAAAGTTACAATATTAGCTTACTTAATATAACTAGGCCTATTTGGCCGACCAAGATGGAATATAATAATCTCAATCTATATAATGGCTGTCACCTCCCAGAAGGAACAACGCCGTCTATGCCTACCACACTAATGATACTAGTTGGTCAAACAAAAGCCCGATCATAAAAGTTATAAACTTGACTCTCAAGGTTGCAGTGGAAGTCAAATGTGGCTATGTATTTGTTACTCTTTTATACGTAACATATTCAGAAACCAAGGAATAACAAATATCACACAAGTATGTACATAGGCTGGAAATGAAGCCCGTAATTTGAAGCCCCCCCCCCTCCCCCAGTTGTCATTAGGCCTATAAGTTAGCCTGAGGCTATGGTGTTGAACTGAGTACCTAAGTTAGTATGTGACTCTTCCGAAGATTAGGGGTAATGGGTGATTCTCTGGGAAGTGGTCCTGCTTTGTTATTTTTAAGAATTGATTAAAACTGGTTCAAACATTGTTTTTTATATAAAACAATAATAAAATCTCCCTTAACCAGTCTTTAAAATTAAAATTAAAAATTATTTTTCATGAAATGAAGCTTCAAACTTGGGTAAGTTCTATTACAGTCAAATGGTACTTTTTTCCAGAATTTTAAATAAAAATGTTTATGGTTAGATGAGTCAATAAATTGAAACAACTTATATTAGTAAATAATTGAAAATATAATTTGTTAAACCTTTGTAAAAGAAAAAAGAAATATTAAATAGATTTTGAGATATTGTTAAATTTCCAATCCATGTTTGCTTGTCCCGTGCAACACACAAAAGGTGAGATTTTTGTTTTAAATCCCAAACTAATTTATATTATTTATTACAACTTCAAAGCAATAAAGATGAAATATAAAATGAAGGCAACAATGTAATTACATAACTATTTTTTATGTACTTTATTTTTTGTTTTATAATACATTTAAAAAGTGTCCCGTGCAACACGTGTTGCACGGGAAAATTAAACTGAAGTGGTGGTTATGAATAGATACCACTTATTTTCTTTTTAATTAAATTTTTAATAGAGACAATAGTTGCATATTTATTAACACAGGACTATAAGATTTCTTATCAAAATTAAATTGCAGAATTGTAAAACTTTTTTGAGAAAAATTCCTTGTTGTAAGACAACTTAGAAAAAATGTCTAGAAAAAATTGTGCTTTCTCAAAAATGTCTATGGGTTGTGGAAATTCATAAACTATGCGCTCTCCCTTGAATTTTAATTGTGGGGTGTCAAAAAGCTTTAATATCTGTTCAAATCCAATATAAGACTTGTTAATCTCATCTGGAATAAATTTCTTCCTCGTACTGTCCATACACTTTTAAAGACACATCACTCTCACTTCTCCATCTTCTTCAACTTCACTTTCAGCTACACACAAGTATCTGTAACTGTTATCTTTCTGTGTGCCTTTAAATTCTGCTAATAAAAATGTTCCATTCTTTAAATTGTCAACTTCAACATTAGTTTTCACTTGATTTCCTTGAGTTTCCGGCAATTCATAATTTAAGTCTTCCTCGGAAAAATTATCATTTGTGACCATTCATTACGTTGTTCACTCACAGAATCACTAAAAACCAAACGAAAAATGTATTCCTATTACCTCTAGCATGTGATTGCTCTGCTTTCTGTTCATAGCTATTTTTGTAAAGGTTCTTCCGTTGCAGTGCACAACTCCAGACTGAATCATCTCTGAGAATCTCAGAATCTAATATCAAATGGATTTTTGTGTTTTCATTAGCTTTTTTGCTACATCTTTAGCATTTTGGACTATTGGAGCATCTTTTTTTTACATATGTATGACAGAAGTTCTAACAATTGATTTTATTCTCAATCCTACCCCGTCAACTATTCCCTTTCCATGGGAAGTAGCAAAATACTTCCACGTAAATGGTTCCTTAAACTGGAGGCTTAGTTGTTGTCCCAAATATACCATATATCTGTTCTTACTCGAGGGTCCATTAGTCCATAATATGACTTCTTCAACATCATCCCACATATCAGGAACTTCTCAGCCACTTTCCCGCCATTTTCAGGCAAAGAGTAAAACAGTATACGGTAATTAAATTATAATTTGCCATTTTGATCATGTCATTAAATATATATAAACTTAATAATTTATGTGTGTCACTTGTATCAAACTTAATTGAAGAGAGAAAACATTTAATAAGAAATTTCTAAATAAAAACACGTTGTACCTAGGAGTACCCCATATAAATAACTTTTTTCAAGAAAAATGGAATAAAATCTCAGTTTAAATGTTTTTCCCCTGTTACAACATACAAATTTAAACCTAAATGTTCATAAATTTTCTTTTTTATTATTATTATCCCTATCATAATCACCCAAGAACGTTTGTGTCCCGTGCAACACGTCCCGTGCAACACACGACATGCCTATCAAATATGATTAAAAAGTCAGTAACCCATTTATAAAAATCCCATTATAAAACATTATTAGTTAAGTAAATCCATCGAGAATATCTACATCAAATTAACAATAACAAATTATCTCAGAATTCACAGAAATAATTGTAGACAAGCAAGTAAGTGAATGTCGCTCTTCGTACGAGTCCCGTGCAACACGCTTCTAATACCATTGCTTCAAAAAAAGTAAAAGTTATGAAACTTATTCATCTATACTTATACAATCTATGACCATAAATCTAGTACTCCAAACATCAATAGCAGACTTTTAAGTCATTTTTATTGATTTATATAAAAAAGTGTTGTCTGAATGTCCCGTGCAACACACCGAGAATCGCCCTAATATGCTTGGGTGTGTGAAAAATTGTCCAATTTTGGATTAAATTTAGCAACAAACGAGTAGGCTATGTTAAACCCAAGTTCTTAATCTAACACGCTCGCAAACCGGCATGGTCAGACTATGAGAATGGTTTGGGACCCCCACGGGACCCTATATTGCCCGTGCCTACCGCTAAAACTTTTTAACTAGTTAACTTACTAATCCATTTAGTAGCAACTTAGTTTGACAATCTTTATCCATTATATAGGCCTAACTTACCATAACTTAACCCTCCAAGGCTCCAAGTGTCCATAGTAATGGTATTAATGTCCGCCCATTTATGCAGTTGCAGGGTTTTATTAAAATGTATCTTAGAAACTTTAAAATACCCCCGCCGCAGCAAACCTGCAGACTTAGCGAATTTCCATCTGCCTGATTGGATTTAAACTAAAATGTCTCCTTAAAAATATCACATTTATTCCCTATTTAAACAGAATTAGTTTAATGAGTACTTAGGTTTGCTGCAACAGGGAGGGTAAAAAAGTTTTTTTTAATGTAAAATATTAAAAGGTACTGTGGTTTAGTAAGAAATTAATGTATATTCCAAATTTGATCAAAATATGTTCATAAACAAGCAAACTACAACAGTTTACTTGTTCTCCATAAGAATAACATGGAAATTTTAAAATTACAATTTTTTTGAATTTTCTCCGTAACAATTAGGCGCATAATAACGCTTCAATATACTAAATTATTTGTTTTTTTAAGCTCTACAAAATGGTTTGAAAAGAAATTGTGAAATTTTGTGTTTTAGGGCCAAAAATGGGAAAAACCTATTTTTACCCCATAAAACCCCCCATAAACCCCCGTTCCCATAGTCCGATCATGCTGGTTCGCGAACTCATTCAAGTTTATCCCGCCTTACACCTTTAAACCAAGTTTTATCAAAATCGGACAAAAATTACTCAAGTTATCGTGCGGATGGACATATATATATCTAATATATAAAATTCTCGTGTCACAGTGTTTGTCTGCAAACTCCTCCGGAACGACTTCACCGATCGTTATGAAATTTGGTGTGTAAATTCTGTAGGTATGCGAATCGGACGTAAACTATTTCGCGTTTCGAAATTCTTAAAAGGGCTCCACCCCAGTGGCTCTGGAGTTTCCCATGTTAACCTTATGAGAAATGGAATTAATGAATCTTCAGCTGTTTCAATTAAACAAGTTGGTTCTGTTCTATGATGTTCAATAGCATTAAAGTTACAAGGATTACCAACAGGGTGGAGCACTATTATATCTTTTACATTTATGACAACAGCTAATTTGCAAACCAAAAGGTGAGTGAGCGTAGCGAACGAACCTCAACCTGGAGGCGAGTGAGCGTAGCGAACGAGCTAACCTGAAGGCAAGTGTGCGCAGCGAACGAGCCCCAACCTAAAGGTGAGTGAGCGTAGCGAACGAGCTCCAAGCCAAAGGTGAGTGAGCGTAGCGAACGAACTTCAACCAGGACGTGATTGAGCGATGCGAACGAGATCATCTTGAAAATTAAACGTAACGGTACTTTCTTTCCATCGGTCTGTCTTAGGGGAAACCTATAACTTAGGCGATACGAAGTTCGCCGGGTCAGCTAGTATATATATATATATAGATATATAAAAATTTGAACGAATGGTGTTTTTGGCCTCTGGGGACATCAAAATGAAAAAGTAAATCGGTCCCGGGCTTAGGTCTTACCATGAGACCTACGGTAATAGCTACTTCCCTATAGGGAAATTCGCTAACAATGTAAAGTAGACTATACCCCTACTGTTTTATAAATCATTTTGTTTGGGAAATTATGGGCTTCAATGTAATAGGCTAGGCATATATAAGTTAAAACATTACAAAAAAAATGTTCAAAAATTATCGTGGGGTTAACATTTCTCAAAAATTATTTAAAAAATGAAAAAAATTTATGTTTGCGCTCAATAAATTTTTATAATTTATTAGCCTAGGCTACAAATATTTTAAAATATAGCCACTTTGTTCTAAATTTTATAAGGATTACAAAAATATAATAATATAAGGAGGTAAATTTGCAAATAAATATAAGTTATGGGTGAAAAACAGATTTCGTACATTTAGCGTTTTTAGAATGCATAAGTTAACTTAGCCTAATCATAGCTAGGAATCTGGCCGACAATTTACATCAATATCACTACCTACTTCTTCAGGATCATCAACCAGCCCTTCAAAATTTAACTTAAATCTTCTTATAATGCACCACGTATATCACTAGGGTACTTTTTATTTTTAACACTAAAACAATGATAAACGTAATAAAACACATCAGTCATCGGTGTGAGGTTAAACCAAGCTGTTTACAAATACGCACGTCAGCTGTCTGCTACAATATTTTCGGAACTAAAATGAAAAGCGTCTAGAAACAGACATCAGGAGAAAGCTTAGTATCTGCCGAAAACAACGATACCAATCTCGATCCAGTTTAATCTGATTCAATCAGCCCAGAGCATTCGCCGTAAACGATGTTTGTGTGTCGCAAAAGCGACGCATAACACCACGGCGGGTGTGTTGTGCGTCGATTACGCGACGCTTAACACTCGGAGGGTTAACTTAAATTAAAACAAACAAAAATTTGATTAATAAACACACGTAGGTATAGGCTACCAACTTACTTGGAGGACTGGGTAAACTAACAAAAACGCCTAGCCTAGAGACCTGGATAAAAAATACTGTCAGTTGTAGCCTACGGAAAAATCACCCGTACATGGAAACCACAGCAACAGCATCTTCAGAGACTAAGTTATTCCATTAGACCTTAGGCAAACTACAACTAACAACCAAACATTCAACTGTAGGGCCTACATTTGTAACAAGCCATGTGTAGTCTATGGATGTTGGCGTCAACAACAGTTGACGTCGGTCCAAGTTAGTGTGTTCAGACAATGATTCAACTAAAGTTGACGCCAGATAGGCCTATTAATGCCAAAAAACCTTACGTCTACGAATAGCTTACGATAAGTTAGTTAACACCGATCTAGGTGGTAATGCAATTTTTTTAACATGTTAATACCGGTAGCAAACATGTTAGCCTAACTCAACAACTTGTTACAGTAGCTAATAAGTTGGTCTAACTCAGGCTAATCTAGATGAATCCTAATCCGCTTTGCAATCTTAATAAACCAGTATCATCACTTAACCTGGAGGTTAGGCCTAGATTGAAATTTTATCGACTATGACTATGCCTAGGCCGTCAGTTTGAAAACACTAAGATCTTTTTAACTAAGCCTAGACATAAATTGTTAGTAACATTAGAAAGCGTTCAGGTTAGTAAAATAGCTTGACTAAGTTTAACTTATACAATCATAGTGTCAGCGGAATGCATTTATTAAGAATATGCCTACGTAATTACTTAGGCGCTTATAGGCTGGACTACAATTTTAAAACCAAAGGAGGGGTAATTCTTACCTACTGCTTCATCTAATTAACTAGGCCTAGGTAGTTGGGATAGTCAACTCTCGTGTGTTGACCAAAGATATCACTCATACGAAACTCCAGTGGAAACATTTCTGATGTTGTTGTTATGTAACACAATAAAAATCTAATACCTAAACGTATGACAATAAACACCAAAACTGTAAATAAATAAATGTTGTACAACACAGTACTAAGTTAATTCAATTGACAGACAAGAAACAAGAAACGACGGGTCCACACAGACAGGTCAGGTAGGTGATGATTCGTTCGATTCCATTCCAATCCGACCGAATTCTAATTCTAATCACCAAGATCAAGGATTCAGGGAATGTAGATGTAGACAGACATAGAGGAAAGAGAAACGCAAATAATGATGGCTATTTGGCAAATAATATGTACTACTAGTGTACCTGTTGCTCGAATTCGAGCAATTGCGAAGCATTACAGGCGACTCAAAGATTATGGAAATACTCACAATCTACACAACAGTTAGATATAATCAAAATCTTATGTAAATACCGTATCAAATCTTTTTTTCAAAAAGCTGATCTTGTTTTTTTAGTGTAAAAAAACATTATTTCTATTTCTTCTACTTGGTTGTGTTCTATGACTTTTTCTACGTTTCCATTGTTTGCAAATCGGTTATTTCAATGATTGCTCAAGAAATGTAGCACAGTGTTAATTCAGTTTTATTTTTAGCCTGTATCCAATTGTTCAGGATTTCTCGCTCTTTTCTATTGTAATAATTCCACCAACCCAAGTTTCGTCTACAGATGCAATATGCCAAAGAATATCACCAACGTAAAATCTCCAAGAAGTGGTAAAAAAGGCAGAAACTAACCCATACAATAGATATAAGTTAACTCCATAAAAAATAATTTTAAAAGTTACTGTGATATTAGGATTTTCCACTGATTTGGTAATAGAACATTATATTGCCAAACATGACACGATGCAGAAGAAAATCAATTTTAAAATCAGAAAAATCCATTACAAATACTGTACTTCATTTTGACAAATTCAATAAATCACAATTTAAATATTAACAGCTGTTGCATTAAAAAGTAGTGTAGAATTATGCATATGGTTGTAATGTAAACAAATCTGAAGAGGCAACTTTAAGGGCTTCTGGGGCAGAGCTCCAAGGGAATTTAACTCTTTCCTCTTTTGATGGCTCATCTACAGACCAAGACCTTTCTTTAGAGACCCCTACCAAGTTTCTACGCCCAGCCGTTCTCTCAAATTAGCTGTGACAAAAACCCCGTTTTCCTCCATAAGAATAAAATGGGATGGGAATTTAAATGCCACGGGGGCAGAGCACTAAGGGAATTCACCATGTTTCTCTTTTGATGGCTCATCTACAGACCAAGACCTTTCTTTAGACACCTCTACCGAGTTTCTACGCCCAGCCGTTCTCTCAAAATAGCTGTGACAAAGAAAAACAGTTTCAAATTAATATATAGATAAGAAACCAGAATTTGGAAAAGTGGAAAATGCAAAGAGGAAACAATTATTCTACTATCATAAAATAAACAAATGGTGTTTTTATTCTATGCTACAGTAAAAGGCATAAAAAGTTATGTGTTATGTCCTATTCGTGCCTATTCTTATGGCTCACTTAGCTCAGTGTTACGGCTCTTACTTTCATTAATAACGTACATAACGCTATAGTGAAATCGTTAATGATTTAGACTTATAGGTATATCAAATGTGTTGGTTATAACCTATTATTTAGGTAACGTAAGCATTTTCCATAAATGGCAACAATGGCGTTATTTGACTTTCTATTTTCAAAAAATGAAAATCGCACGTTACATTAGTGTCATTTAATGCTAGTTAATAACATTAAACAAAAAATATACCCCCGCCGCAGCAAACCTGCAGACTAAGCGAATTCCAACTTGTCTGATTACATTTTTACTCAAATATTTCCATAAATAAGACATTTTATTCCCTATTTAAATACATTAGATTTAACGTGCTTAGGTTTGCTGCTACAGGGAAGGTAAAAAGTGTTTTTTTGACCATACGTGAATATGGGATGAAATAAATAAATTTGTCAAATTTTATCAATATATATCCATAAACAAGTAAACTACAACAATTTTTATTTTCTCCATAAGAATAACATGGGAATTTTAAATGGAACTATTTTTGAATTTTCTCCGTGACCGTTAGGCATACAACAGCGCTTCAATATACTAAATTATTTTTTTTTTAAGCTCTACAAAACGGGTTAGAAAGAAATTGCAAAATCTTTTGTTTTTAGGGTAAAAAATGGGGAAAACACATTTTTACCCCATAAAACCCCCCATAAACCCCTGTTCCCATGGTCCGATTATGCTGGATCGCGAACTCGTTTGAATAAACATATGTTTACACGTTTGTACCAAATTTCATCAAAATCGGATCATTTTTGTTTGAGTTATTGCGCTAACGGACACACACACACACACACACATATATATATATATATATATGAATTTGAACGGATGGTGTTTTTGGCCTCTAGGAACCTCAAAATGAAAAAAAAATCTGTCCCGCGTCCAGGTCTTACCATGAGTACTACGGTAATAGCTTATTCCCTATATGGGAAATTCGCTAATAATAAAAACCTTTTTTCATAGTAATCTAACAAATATTGATATATGGCAATATTTTTTATTCGTGAAAAAGATTACTACGGTGAGATCTTTTCAATCACTGAGACGACTGCAAACATAGACAACAACATACTCAAACATACGTGCCTGGAGGCACGTACTACCATAGATGAAAAATACTCCTCAAGTATGTTTTATCTATGGTACTACCATTGACTATTGGATACAGAAGTATCCTGTAGTAGGCCTAAGTTGTTGTATTAATAATAGTCAAAGGTACTACGTAGTGAGGGAGATGTGGCCAGTGGCTCCTTGGTTATCCTTTTTGTTTACTCTTCGTTATCATAATTTTCTCTTGTCATGCTTCAAATAAACTGAAGAGGAATGCCAATAGTTCTTCTTAAAGCATGTTCACCCTATGCTTGAAATGATTTTATAGTTATGTTTAATATTATTTCTTTCATACTAAACTCTTTATACTAACCAATAACATTGCGGTTAGTATAACGATACTTACGGTTGAAACTTTAACCGAAACTTTAATCAACAGAGATACTTTGTTGAATTAGGTAATTCCAACTGCCAAAGACAAACCCAAATAATGCTCTTGGTCATCCAAGCAGACAAATAATATCATCGTTTTTCATGAACCCTGTCACAAATGAGGAAATAAAAAGCATAATAATTGGACTGAAAAACAAAAAAAAAACAGCTGGAGTTAACGAAATCTCTCCCAACTGTTCAAATCAATATATGATATAATAATTATTTGTCACACACATAATGTAATAGTTCCATATTGTTGAAGGCCACTTTCCATCCAAACTTAAGCAGACAATTGTAAATTACAGGCCAATAAATCTCATTTTAACTTTCTCTCCAAAGTGTTTGAAAAGGCAGTTCTGGAAAGATTGTGGAGTTTCCTTGAAACCTTTGAACTAGTGTTTAAGGGCCAGAATGGGTTTGCCAGGAACAGATCCGCCACTAGTGCCATACTCAGCCTAAAAACAGAGTTGTATTGGATTCTAATCAGTTTGCGGTGGGCATTTTCTTCGACCTCACGAAGGCCTTTGATATGGTTGACCGGTTGACCATGGGCTACTTTCAAGTACCGTAGCCTAAAATGAATGAAATTCGGATTAGGGGCACTGCTCTTCACTGGTTCTCCTCATATCTGGAGGGGAGAAGCCACAGTCAGTCACGAACCCTGCAGTAGATGAAAGGGGGTGCTTGAAAAATATTTATTCCTCAGAAGCTTTAGTTAGCCGAGGGGTGCTCCAGGGTTCCATCCTGAGACCAATCCTCTTCCTCATTTTCATAAACATCCTACCATCGAGTGTGAAGAAGACAAATATATATGCGTATTTGCCGACGGCACCTCCCTCGATCACTATCTCCAATACCAGAGTATGGAGGTGTTAGAACAAATCGCTTTTGTCGATAAAACTGTCGGTAAAACTGAACTTATACTACTTATGCTATATTGAACTTTTTTGCCTTATCTACCTAAATTAGACTATTTCAAGCACTTTTTACCATTGGCACTTAGGGGGAAACGCTTATTTCACCCAGAAAGTTTTGTTTGAAAATCAAGAAAAATGCTAGAAATCAATGATTTTTGGGGCTTGATAATTTTTATTTTAACTTAGGGTGGGTTTTTTTTAATATTAGTCCATTTTAAACACTTTTTTGGCAAATGCCGTTTTTACCCATGAAAACAGGTTTGAAAAATCGTAAAAGATAGTAAAGTACCAAAAATTACCCCATTTTTGGGTAAACCAAATTAAATAATAAACTAACTTAACTTAACCTAACCTAACCTAACCTAACCTAACCTAACCCAACCCAACCTAACCCATGCTTAGGTTAACAATGTTCCAAAATGACCGATTTTGGGTAAACCCTGGTTATGCTAGGTTAGGTTAGTATTAAGTTATTGACACGTAGTAAAAAGAAGTTGGGTACCTACCTACAGTTTCTATAACTTAGCTATGATAATACCGATTATTAGTAAACCTTCATTCGATGTTTTCACTATCAGCAAGTTTGGTTGGTTAGGTTAGGTTATGATAGTTTAATGTTATAACTGATATAGCTGGTAAATATATCGATTATTAAACAATATTTTTAATTTGATAGTTAGTTTCAATAGATATTAGCATAAGTTAGTCAAGTTAAGAAATTGTACCCAAAAAGTTTCACATGCGTCTTGATTTCTAGCATTTTTCTTGATTTTCAAACACGATTTTCAGGGTGAAATAGGCTTTTCCCCCAAAAGTGCCAATGGTAAAAAGTGCTTAAAACAGTCTAATATAGGTAGATAAGGCAAAAAAAAGTTCAATATAACATAAGTAGTATAAGTTCAGTTTTACCAAACTGGTTTCTTCAATGGTATCATGAGGAAGGGATTTATCCCTAAATCCTGAGAAAACCCAATTTCTACAACTTCAAATTTCTAAAAGACGATCCCAGAAAAATCAGAGTATTCTAAATGTCCTGTTAGACGAACCCATAATCTGTCCCTCACAAAATGTGAAGTCTTGGAGTACTCCTTGATGAAAATCTCAAATGTTATCAACATATTAAACATGTAGTAAAAAGGGTTTCGGTAGAGGTATTTTCATGCTCCAACAAACAG